CATAAGCGACATCTTCGGGGTCAACCCTATATGGTGGGTTGTCATGTATAGGGATTGGATCATGGGCTTGTCCTTCCATACGTTCTTCCCTCATATAACCCGGCAGGGAATGGTCGGTTCTTGATCTTAATGGAACATTATTGGGGTAAGTAAGAGACGACTTTCCTTTATCCATTCTTCATGGATTAGTAACACTCGGAATCGTGCTCTCAATATAAGATAGCTCTGCTAGATTCACCTGAATTTGAGAGGGGGACATTCCTGATGGTGTACGGACCGTTTGGAATGTGACTCTTAAAAAAGTTTGATCTAACATATTTTGCATCAAATTTTTTTTATCACGCAACATTGCTTGCATAGTGGTTGTTTGCTGGTTGTTCAACTGTCGAACATATGCTACCTATTCAGCGGGTACTTGAGTTGTACGTTCTGTAGACGGGATCGTGGGCGGTATGTCTACCATGCTTCCCGCAGACGTACTGGAGGTTTGCGGCTGAGAACCAGTCATACGGCTTTGACTCCTGTCAATAATCCGACCAGATCGGAGTCGAATAAAGTTATTATGGAATGTGTGATTGGCGATCTTGTTTCCACTCCCACTGTTGTCGTCAATTTGTTATCTTGAGAAATCGGACAAAACAAAGTAAAATTCGAAAGTAGATTTTGAATTTGATGAGTTGTGCCTGAGATCATGTATGAATCTCTAAACATTAGATTTATTAATAAAAAAAAAACCAAAATACATATAGGAAAACAACTAGAGTTTAAGAAAATAAAGTCTAAAGTTGTTCAAGATTTTTTTAGAAAAATGATGCCCTCCTTTTCGCCCCCGCGCGTTGTCTATATCAATTCACCCGCATCGGTTTCGGCCGGTTTGATTCGGTAACCTGATCACGGGGTAACCGCCTGACAATTACTCCCTGAACCTTCACCACCCGAGTCAGTTACTTCATGGTGCACTCCTCTTGTTAGGCTTCGGACACTCTAACCATCCAAGTGGTACCTCCTAATTTTGCAACCGATTGGCCCAAAAGCAAACAATCCATCGGCCCACCGCACCCGTATTTTAGCCTTCCCGAATTATACTACCAAATCCCCGAATACCTATTTTGACCCTATGGGCCCAACTTGTTCTTGTGAGCCCATGGGTCGAAACCCTAATTTCGTAACTCAACAATAGGCCAAAAAGGAAGTGGGGCAAAGCACTTACTACAACTAAATTGACAACATATTCTCATAGAGAACATATTTAGATATACATTATTATTACATATTTTCCATATTGTAATTAATGGTAGTACATTCCCAAAAAGTGAGTAATCAATGATGTACGTCCACGTCAACCGTATACCCAAATTTTGATTCAGGAGGACTTTGTACGTCCACGTCAACCGTATACCCAAATTTTGATTCCAAAAGTCCTAAGATTGGTGAAATTTGAAGCCGACTATGATGAATCACCAACTGCGACTCCAGATTCAAAAAAGGGGAAGGGAAAAAGAAAAGCGGTTTCGGATGCCAGTGAAAAGGCAAAGAAAAAACTATTTATATGCCTGTTGCCACGGAAGAATCAGCCAAAGCATAGACCAACCAACAAAAACAAGATTTTGTAGTTTTAAGTTTTCTGTATTACAATGTGGAAGGTGAGTCAAAACTAATATAAATGGCATTCGTATTTTTTATTTTTTATTTTTTTATATTATTAATAATAATTTCTCTTTTCATTAGTTTAGACTCCAGAAGAATAAAAAGATCAATGGACGATGATAGTTTAAGTGATCTAGACATCAAACAGCCACAAGGAACTAAAAGCAATCCCAATGACTATTCAGGAGAGTATTTTTAAATGTCCAGATTTTTTTCCCCAACTTCCAATATAACATTGCAAATAGTCCGGATGTGAAAAGCTTTTTTTGGTGTTAGAAGGGATGCCGCTTGGTGTAAAAGAAGCCCCGTCGCGGTTGAATTTTCTTCCTATTTCTTATCCTTCTCCACATCCCTTTCTCCAAATCAAGAAATTTTTTATTTAGTTTTTCTATCTTCTCCCAATCTTCTCTCCTTATGTTTCTCTCCCTCTGTGTCATCAATTCTATTTGTGAAATTTTTTATACTGTTTTTACAATCCTCTATTGTAGTGGAGGGTTTCACTGCTGGTTTGATTTTCTTTTGTACATCCATGGAGAAGGTGTTCGTGGGGTAGTGTTCAATCTAATTTCACTCTTATTTATTTTGTAAAATAGAGGTTCTTGCACCAAATGACGATTTTTGTATTCATAGGTGATAACCACAGTTGTTCGAATAATGTTAGCCAATCTTTTTCGGAAGGCCAAAAAGAAGGGGTAAATTACTTCAAGAAGAAGTGAAACACCCTATGAATTTCAGGTTAGAAAGTGTTTAATGTAATATTGATTTAATTGATTGGAGTTGCATCCTAATGCTTGGGAAAATAGGCGTTAAATTTTGATGTGAATTGATTTAATTGTGGTTGCCCTGCATGCTCAAAGAACCACTTTAATTTAAAATTTCAGTAATTTTAATATTTTAATTGCAACCTATGATAAATTATATTTCTTTGTTTAACTTAATTTGTACTTTTCCATATCGTCATTTATATTCGAATTTGACCGTGCACATAGGAAACACCATGAGATTGATAGCTTTGGGACATTGTTTGGATAAAAAAACTAAACTAGTTTCAATAATGTATAAACTAAGTTTTTAGGCCATCCCCATTCATGCATACTAACTTTTTCACTAAGAATGAAAACATAGTAATTTCTCCAAAAACTTACCCATTTATCATCTACCTTGCACTGGAAGTTATTATTTTAGTTATTTATAAATAAAGAACATGGTGATGAGAAATAGGAAATAATAGAAAATTGGTCAAACAGTATAACATTTTAATAGAGATATGGTTCATATTGTTTTATGTTTTCTTTTTTCTGTAACTTCTTGCGTATTTTATTAATCTCAATTTTATGTTATTTGTGATTTCAAGTTAGTACATATTACATAATAACCTATTTTATTTGGTATAAATTTTCAGTTGTTAACGATTTTCATCAATTCATGGATGAAATGAATGAGGTTTTTGATGTGTGGGTCTGTTTCTGTGCACACCATTATTTTGTATTGTCAAATACATTCAAATTGTTTAATGAACCTGTGGAAGTTGTGATTCTTTTTTGGGTTTTTATGAATTTGGGGATGATTTGTTTATCAATTGTGTTAAGAGGCTATGCACTTCATTCTTGCATTCTAATTTACTGATTCTTTTAAGGACTTTTAAAATTTGCCCTGTTGATTTATTTGTTTTCTTCTAGTATTAAATCAAAGTGGTTTGGTTACCGATATTCGTTGTCTAGTTGGATCTGGCTATGGTTTACATGATCTGTGTGGATATGAGTCGTTAGATCCATAGAAAATAGCTATGGATTACATCACTTAAACTACTCTTGAATCCCATTGGACAATGTGAGTTGCATGAATAATCCTAGAACAATAAACTTGAAATGTTGTCTTCTTCCGAATGTGAGTAAGTCATGATAGTTACTGTGATTGCTATGAAATTTTCATTCTCTATTGCTTGCTGATAGGACTTTTGCTACTATTAAACCTCTTTTTTAAATATCAGGCTACACGGTGGGTCTGAAATGTCAATATGGCAATGATGGTGTACTAAAAGCTTTTATGAGTGTAAAAAATCCCGGTAGACCATATTACAAATGTATTTTATGCAAGAACTGGTTGTGTTGGGATGACAATCTAAATTAACAATCATATCGGGAATTTGAAACGAAGAAAAAAAGATCCTTCCATACATCAATACATTCTTGTACGAGTAATATATTTCAATGTACATGTCCGTGCAACAATGAAAGGAGAGAAATGGATGATATTTCAATGTTGCATGTTTTAATGATGGCTAATTTGGTTGTTTGTATACTTATGTTTCTATGCATGTTGTTGATTTGAGTACAACTTTTATTTTGTATACACGGTTGTCTTGTGTAAGATTGCATATGTGTATTGTGTTTGATTTTTTGTTAACACGGAATGTATTGTCTAAGAATCCATGTGTAATGCATTCAACTGGAAAACACGGCTTATGTTCTCTAGGATCATTTGTGTTCTTAATCAAAAAATCTATTAAATTATTTTTATTCTTATTGCTGCAACAAAAAATTAGAATTTGGGAAAATTATTATTGTTGATGTTCACCTTTTATATTGACTTGTAGGTACAACTTTTTATTGGTCTGCACATTTACTGCATACAACTCATTAATTAATTGTGTTGTTGAGGAGTGAATGAGAATGACCTTTCTGCTGCTGCGTAGGAAATTTTGATTGACTTTGTATGCAATTGTCTTATAGCATTCATGTGAATAGACTTACCAATTAGTGTCGTTGCACAAATTGGATGTTTGGTGGTAAAAGTATATAGTATATATATTTATTGTCCCTCTCTCTACGTGTCTATCTTTATAAATCTAACAAGTTTGTTTAGATTTCAACCATTGCAACAAAAAAAAAAAAAGAAAACAAAAGAACTCAGCTAGGTAACGTTGTGTAATGGTATCTACCATATAAGCATGAATATATTTATCTTCCAATATTATTTTCCACCTTCATTTCCTTATGCAAGTTTGTTTATTCATTTTTATTTAGTGAATAATACTAGGTTGGTCACGTCGTTTCGGGTTTGTTTAAGTTCAGTAAAAAAATCCTAGTAATTTTATTCGGTGGCATGTCTATAGAATTATTACTCAATAATGAACATTAATTCACTGGAAGTTACAAAACTAATTAATTTTACCAAATTACTTAACCTTAACTTGAAACAAGGTGATTTTTATTCTACTTTTTTATGAATGGAATTGGAAACATTATTCAATTATATTGTCTATTAATTAATTCAACAAGATAATCCACATTCTTCTACATCAAGAAAATAAAAATTCACCCACCACCATATAAGTCAAATGCAACCCCACAATAATCCAACTATGATAATATAATTCAAAGTCTGAAACCCCAAAATAATCCAAATACACATATGCAGAAACAAGAGGACATTTTCATTTTTTGGGAGAACATTCTGACCCACTTGGGTCGTTGAAAAGGTGTTTCTTACTGTAACTACGCGTAGCACGTGCATTAGCCACATCCGCTTCTACACAACTTGTTTCCTCAATCAATTGGAGAGTATATTTCAATTCTACGCATGTATAAATTCAATAAACACCAATTTCAAAGTATCAAAACATTGAATGGTAAACATACTTACTATTGTAAGCACTTGTGTAGTCTTCAACTTGCTCATTCCTCATTGTATATAATCTCATTTTATATTTGGTATTCAGATTCTCCTTGTCCAATTCTTCCAATTTTGCATATGCAACCATTAATCTTTCGCCAATGTTCTCACTCTCTTTGACTATATTCACATATTCCATGCTAATTATTATTGAATGCAAAAGATATTATATAAGATTGAAGCAAACAACTATTAGCATAAAAAGACGCGCTAAAAAAATTCATGTGAAATTGTTTTAGAACTCACCTCCCTTATAGGTCTTTCAGACATATTCAAATCTATTCTGCTTTCTTCCTCTACGTACTTTGAGCATCTCTCGTTACTTATAGAATCAAGTTTCATCAAACTGGTAGTAATCGCTTGCGCAACCGATGCTTGGGAATCTTCGTGTCTTTTTATCCTTAGTTGTCGTTGATTGTTTCGCTTATTACTTTCCTTGCCCTTTTTTAATTCCAATAGGACATTCAAGATCAATTGTAGTAGGGTCTTGTAATTCTGATTGACTGGGGCTTTTGTTGACCAATTAATTCTTAGACGTGCTGCCGCTATAGAACAGTCAACAGGCGTCTCCGGAGATTGGTCTTTGTTATTTTGTTCAGCCTTCTTTGCCTCATCGATAACTTCTTTACCATAAGTATTTGACCTTCGGCTTGTCTTGCTTTTCTTTCCGCCCCCAAATTCCATCCACTTTGGTTGATCTTTGAGCATATTCCAACACGCCTTGCATTTGAAGTTAGTGTTGTGTTTTTCATAATATGTTGTGTGGCAATATGGTTCTTGTAAAAACATAGTTGTTAGCGGGTTCAAAATAAAGTATTGTGTAATACAATGACCTAAAGATACTTTAAAATGAACTTATGAAATCTAATCCACTCCATCCGCTCTGATAATGTGATTGTGCCTAAACTAGAATGACTGACCATTTCGTACATTGTGATCTAATTTCTATCCAACACCCTCCCAGTGTTCTCATATTTCTTAATATGCTTACACCATGGTTTTCTTCCATAATTACTCCAAACGCCTCGGATATATGCTCCCATAATCTTTTTTTCTGGCCAACTCCAACCCGTGCATACGTCGTCACGTTATACAATACAGTACTCAACTCTACACCTTCCTCAGTACTCTAATTCTTATTTGTGTGTTGGTTTGTATGAGCATGCCTTATAGAGATGGTGCGTTGGGAAGGAATTTGAGACTAAAAAGGTGGATGGCTACCATGAAAGGTTGATGTGTTGCCATGTGATGTCTAGATTTTTTGAAACGGAAGTTAAGGTGAGGTCCCCGGCGGTATAAAATTCCATATATCTGTGTAAACAATGAGATCATTTCGATGGGGATAGTATTGCATAAGAGAGAAAGGACCACTAAAATTTGTACTAAATTGGGCTGGAAATGCATGTTGATGTGGAGTCAAATGTGGCTATTGTCGGTCCAAGGAGCTGAATTATTTGGCAGTAATGGAGATTTTTTACTTGTATGAGATAGATCTACTAAATCCACCACATCATTCACCCCCTTTCCGTAAATTTTATCTGTCATGGCCTAAATTTCTGAAAACTAAATAAACAATTAAACTTCAAATGAAAACAGTTCAATAACCTCAAACAAGTATAGTCATGGCAAGAATGTATAAGCCATATAAAAGTTACATATTTTAAAAATCTTCCAAACTAGCAAAATAACTTAATATTATATACAAACTCATCTGTTATTTCTAAAAGGATTTTTGTGAACAGATTTGAAACATTTGAATACCCTCGGAGTTGGGCTGGTACTAGGCCAAATCCCGTGGATGAGCCGGTGCAAGCCATCCGATGTTGAATAGTAATTAAATGGATTGAATAGAATACTCATGCCAAGAATGTGCACATTCATTTTCGAGAGCTCTATTGAAAGAACTCTAAAGTTAAGCGTGTTTGCCCTAAAGTAATTTGAAGATGAGTGACCCTTTGTGTGTATACAGTTCTGATTCAAAAAATTGTACAAGCTTTACTAAACTGTAAAATTCAAAAAATTAATTTACTTAGGCAATTTAAACTAAGGAAATTCACCAAAGATAAAATTTTTGTATGACATCTTGATTTATGTCAACACAAACTTACTGAAAGATATAACCCTAGCACATCATCCAAATCCAATTCAACTTCCACAACAACAATAGACCGAAATCTATGATAGAGTATCAAATAGGATGCAGGGTTAAAACTAAGGAAACCTCAACGCCCAAACAAACAATAATCTAAGCAATCAATGTGTAAATGCTACGAAGAATTGATTAAAAGGGGTTAGAAACGCTAAACCTGGATGAGAGCGCAATGAAGCAATCGAGCTATATGTCCATTGGAGATCCTTTCATCACCCATACGGGACCGCCATAGGAGTATTAAATCAGTGTAGCATATTCCCAAGAAAGAAAAATAGAAAAATATGCCCTAACTATTTAACATCTAACTTGGCATCTACGACGGCGAAATTTGAACGCAAGGAAAGAAACTTGTGCAACTCTTCGTTGCCGGTTCCCCGCGATAAATTGGAGATATAGATGACATGGTTGGAGATTATTCTCAAAATTGTGAAAAGAATGCAAAAAATTTTGGTTGCGATGAAATGGGTGTGGAAGACTTCTGAAAATGAGAAAGTGTAAAATCTCAATTCCTGCACCTTTTGGGACAAAAAATAAGAAAGGGTAAAATCAGTTATTGTGTAATTTTTTATCCATCTTTTGTCCCTACTAAATGAAAACCTTGACACCTCAACTTTCCAAGGCTTTTTGGAAAAAAGCCATTGAGATTGCTCTAAGAAAATCTAATGAAGCGGCCAAAAAACAAATAGGGTTAGGAGGAGGAAGAGGAACCTAGTATCACTACAGAGAATGCAACAGACACGTGTCTTCTTTAAACCGGTCTGGAGAACATGATAAAGTTCTTCTTTCAACGTGCAGCTACTAAGATTTTTAAAAAGCCCGGTTTAGGACATGGATGAAAAAAATCGCCTCCTCCACTTGTTCTTGCGGTAGTTTCATTTGCCGTGCATAAAAATTAAAAGTGCGACTTTCGATGTCTCGTTTCACCCCACTAGTTTAATTTCATGCATTCAAATATATATGTGTGAGTCGTTACCCGTGCTACACTCGGTGAATCTTATTTTTAATGTTTTAATTATATTATCATAATTTAACATTTATCTACCGTGGATATATATATAATATTTATATTTAATTTTTATTTATTTCAATAATAATATTTTTTGTTTGAACGAAAAAATAAAAACCAAAAAATAAATATTGTATTTTGTTTGATTTTCTAAATTTATGTTAAAATTTGAAAAGATAGAAAAATATTTTTTTTATAAGAAGTTCTAATAATATAATAAAAATTTATTATAAATGAATCAATAAGCATCAAATTACTTTTTTATTTATAAAAAATAATATTTTTTGAAATTAATATTTTATATACAAAAATATATACAAAAATTGGAAAAAATAAAATAAATAATATTATTATTTGAAAAAAAAACATGGAAAGGAAAATCAAACTGCTAATTGAGTATGTTATGAAATAGATAATTATATATATATTAAACAATTAAAAATAGAAAATGTTTATACAAAAATAATTAAAGAGGAAAATATTATTAGACATTATAGCTAATAAAAATACTTCTTGAAAATTACTATAATCTTACATTGAAGAAATTGTGCAAGTATGTCCTGGGATGACAATATTTGCTAATAATGAATGAATATGAGTGTACTTTCACACTAACCCTAACACTGTAATTTGATTGTGGGATTTTAATTGAGAGTTTTGATTTTTAAAGTGTATTTATTTCAATCATTTTAAAAATTTTGAAATTTAATAATTTCGCATTCACGATAATCAATAATTTTAAAAGAAATGAGTCCCATAAGGGATGATCTGGTGATGTGTAGAGTAAACTTGTGATTGTGAGGTCATGGTTTAAATCTTCGACTTGTAAAATATTATTTTTTAAAAGTTAAGTGAACAGATTGAACATATATTTTATTGTAATAATATTTTTTTAAAAAAATATTTGTAAATACAAATAGACATACCATTTTTAATAATATTATTACAATGAAGTAAATAGACAACACAACAACAGGTATCCATCTAATCTTTCTACCCTATAACTTTCTTTTCTCATGCTTCCTCCTTTCCTTTTTGATTATTCTTCTGTTGTATCCGCTTCGAGGACATGTATTTTATATATTCAATTTTAGATTTAGATTTAGATTTAGATTTGATATTATACATATATTAAATTATTTGAATTTGAATTTATCTAATTTGTTTTATGTTGTCTGTATAGACAATTTATTTTGATGATCAATATAATTCAATTCTCTAATTTTCATAAAATATTTTCACATCAATAAAGAAAATTGCTGTTAAAAAATATTCGATGGATAAATGTTCAAAAAATCCTATACAGTTGTTTTCAATTAAAACAAATTTTAATCCTAACACTCTTAAAATAAGATAACAACCAAACTAAGAAAATTCCAAAAACCAACCATTCTCCTAGTCAAATATTATCAAGTGTCAACAATACAAACCTTTCTATACCGTTTAACAACTAAAAATTTATACAAATCAACGGGCGTGTTTGTTTGTTTGGGATTTTTGTATTATATTTGAACTTTAATTAGTAAAAAACTTATCTTAAATAATTATTTAATATGATTATAAATAGATATTAGTAATACTTTTTCCATTGCCCACTTTCTTTATTTGTTTGATGTAAAAAATATGTTTATTTTTTATAATAAAAAAATACTAATTTTTATCTTTTTAAATTTTTCTTTTCTTACTTGTAAAATAAAAATTACACATTATTAAAAATTCGTGTTAAAAACCAAATGAGCATATTTTTACATGACGAAGAGAATATAATATTTTGAATATAAAATTTATTTGAATATTTACGAATATAGAAATTGTATATTGACCTAAAAACAGAGTTTCAATTGGCATATATAGGTATATATGTGTAGCCCCAAATGACAAAATATAGAAAAATATGCTAACAACCCCCCCTCAAACTCAATGTGGTAAAGTAGAAACCAACTTGAGTTTGCTCAACAATATGGAGAACCGGCCTGGGAAGAAGGACTTGGTGAAGATATCCGCAATCCGATCCTCAGAAGAGACAGAAGATAAATAAACAGTGCCTGCACGAACATGCTGACAAACAAAGTGACAATCAATTTCAATATACTTGGTGCACTCGTGAAAGACATCATTATGGGTTACCTGAATAGCGCTCGTGCTGTCAAAATAGAGGAAAGTGGAAGAAGACTGAGGAACACTGAGATCAAAAAGAAGCCGACGAAGCCAAAGGAGCTCGGAAGTCGAATCCGGAAGAGCACGATACTTAAACTCTGCACTGAAGCGAGAAACGAGAGTTTGTTTCTTGTTGCGCCAAGAAACAAGGGAACTCCCAAGAAAAAAACAATAACCTGTGATAGAGTGACGATCAGTCGGATCACCAGCCCAATCAGCATCAGAGAAACCTGCAAGAACCAATTGAGAGTCAGCAAAAAAATGAAGACCATGTAGAAGTGTTCCCTTGACATAACGAAGAATATGCAACACAGCAGCATAGTGAACTATCCGGGGATTAGTCATGAACTGAGCAACAACATGAACCACATGAGCTATGTCAGGCGAGTGACCGTCAAGTATATCAAGGATCCCACTAACTGCCGATAGTGGGAGGGATCCTCTAGTGGAGTGTCATCGAAATGAGCAAGTCGGCAGTTCCCCTTGAGAGGGGTGAATGCAATCTGGCTATCAATCACACCTAAACGAGACATGAGATCAGATGTATATTTTGCCTGAGATAGATATATGCCATCTGGAGCGTCAGAAATCTCAAGTACGAGAAATAGCAGAGCTGACCAAGACTCTTCATGTCAAAGTGTCGATGAAGGTAGGTTTGTAGATCGGATATACTAGAAGTTTCATCGCCGATAATAACCATGTCATCCACATACAACAAGAGAATGATGATCTCGGAAGAAGAACAGCGAATAAAGAGAGTAGAGTCATAGGGAGATGCAGAAAAACCATACTGAAGGAGCACAACACTAAACTTGGCGAACCAACCTCGGGCCGCCTGCTTCAGTCCATAAAAGGCACGGCGCAGTTGGCATACCTTCCCTGAAAAATCTGAGCCTGGTAGAGGGGTCACATAGACTTCCTCAGACAAATCTCCATGAAGAAATGCATTCTTCACATCCAACTGTAATAATTGCCAACGTCGAACAACAGCAATAGCAAATAGACAACAGACAGATGTCAAACGAGCAATTGGAGCAAATGTCTTCTTATAATCAATACCATACTCCTACAAAGAACCCCTGGCTACAAGGTGAGCCTTGTAGCGCTTAACAGAACCATCGGAGTGAGTTTTGATTTTGTACATCCACTTGCAACTAATAGGTTTCTTGCCATGAAGGAGATCAACGATATCCCACGTGCCGGTCTTCTCAAGAGCCTGTAATTCCTCAGACATAGCGTCGCGCCACAATGAATCATAGTTCGCCTTACGAAAGGTCCTGGGTTCATGGTGAGATAAAATGACAGAAAAACAATAATAATCAAGAAGATGAGAGGGAGGACGACTTACACGGGTGGGTTGCCGATCAGTGGCATCAGGAACTGAAATTTCCGGATGGTCAGGCACAGGCTCAGGAGGAGCAGGAGGGTCAGCTGGTGGGGAAGAATCAACATCAGACAGACCAGCAGGAACGGACGGGAGTTCGGGACCTGCAGGAGGAGAGGAATCCACAACAGAAATGGACGGGAGCTCCGGATTTGCAGGAGGAGGAGAGGAATCCAGAACAAAGAATGGAGATTCCTACTCGAAGAGAATGTAAAATTTAGACTTAGAGGAAAAGAACTTATGCTCTCAAAAAGTAACATCCCGAGAAATACGTAGACGATTCAACACAGGATCCCAACATCGATAACCTTTATGTTCTATCTCATACCTAAGAAAACAACACAGACAGGTGCGTGGTTCTAATTTGTTACATTCATGAGGATTAGTAGCTTTGTCTATCCCATAAAAAAAAATTGGTTTTGATACCATGCTTGAATATTTGCAAAAAATATAGAAATTGTGTGTTAACCTAAAAAGAGAGTGTATATATATAGGCATATATATGTGGGCCTCAAATGACAATATATAAAAAATATGCTAACAGAGATTATAGATAATATTATATCCAAATAATACTGCGACTTAGGCCATATACTCAGGTTTAATTTGAAGTTGCATAATTTGATTTTTCTCCGAACAAAATAGCCAAAATATTAACCAAATCTCATATATAATAAATAAATAATATTTTATTATTTATTTCTTCCAAATTAATTCACATTTTTACTAACAAAATAATCTCTTACAAAAATAACTTATTGTAAAATAGCTTATTGCAAAATATATATATATATATTTTCAAATACACCCGTGTAACTTGTAAGTGTGGTCGGTCACATTATTATTTTTATTATTATTATTATTATTAATAAAAACCGTATAATTATGTGGATGGTTTTGGACTAAGGGCGTCATGCATGACGACACGCTTCAACTCAAGTCCAAACCAAACACTACACACTTCAATTAAATTAAATTCAAATAAATATTACTATTACACTAGAAGATATTCACATCATTTATCATATCTATCAACTCTACTATCTGTATCAACCCGCCTGGTGTTTACATTTATTTTGTTGATTATATTTTTGTTTACCATAATTATTTATTGAATTTAAATTGACAAATAAATAAATAAATAAGATTCAAGAGTTATACTGAATACAAATATCTAAAGATAAAATTTTATAATTGAAAGACCGCAGTTTGATTCTTGTCCAGAAAGATATACTCTCTAATTCAATATTAATGGAAAATATTCAACTATTTAATTACCTATAAAGTTAGGGGGTGTTTCGGAAACAGCGTTTTTTGAAGAGCTTTTAGCTTATTGAAGAGATTTTAGTTGTTTGACCAGTCAAAATGCTAATTAATAGAAAATATTCAACTATTTAATTTCTGAAAAGCTCATCTACCCATCGTTTTGAAAGAGCTTTTTCATTTAATTTTGGTTATTTCTTATTTAACCTTAAAACTTAATTATTTATTTTGTACATATAAATATATTTTTATAGCAGTATTTATTAATTATTTTTAATATATTTAATTTATTAAATTATATTTTTATTTTTTTTAATTTTAAAATAATTACTATTATTAATTATTAGATATAAATTATTTTATTGGTAAAATATATAATTTAAAACTAAATCAAATAAAAAAAGCACTTATTAAATTATTTATATATATTAAAATAATAAATAACATAATAAAAAGATATATACGAAAGATTTATTATTTTATATTTTACATAATTTTAATAAAAAATTATTATTTTTTAGTAAAAATAATTTTCTCGGATCTAAATAATATAAATAAAAATAAATATTTTATAATATTTTTATAATTTTAAATAATTAATAACAAAAATTCTCATAAATTTCAAACCAAAATGAACAAAATTAAATATTTTAAAAAATAACATATCAATGTCTTTAATAGTAATTTTATGTATAAACATCTAATGTCAAACAGTTGTTTTACCAAACACTTTAATACAAACCGCTAATTGAATCAACAAGTCAAACTAGCTAATTGAATCAGCTAACAGCAAAAAGCTATCAGCTAATTACCAAACGCACCCTTAATGATTGTGAAAATTTTAGAATAATTAAAGAAGATTTCAACTATTTTTGTATAACGGTTTTAATAACATGTATAACTATTAATAAAAAACATTTAAACTATTACATATACGCACAATTTAACAATATAAAAAATTTAATATATTAATTATACTCATCTATCCATTAATAATAAAAATATTGTCATTTAAAACAGTTACAAGCAACAGCAATATTTTCTTTTATGGTAAATATGAATTATGTAATATTAATAAAATATTATAGTATTTTATATGAAATACTAAAATACCAATTTCAAATATATTCGTTATTAAGTGTAGATTTTTCCAATCCGATGATATTTTAGTCTTACATATTTGTTTGGAGGTTTGGATTTTGAGTTGGATTTGAATAGTAAAAATTTTGAATTTGAATAGTTGTATGATGTGATATAAATAGGTGTTGATGTGATGTTTTGAATATAAAATTGATTTTTTAGTATAATATAAAAATAAAAATAGGTGTTTGATTTGATATTTTTGGGGAAAAAAAATTGGATGAATAGTGAAAAACAAATCCAATCCCTCAAACAAACACACCCTAAAAATATAATATGACATTATTCCTTAATTAATTTGCAAATATTAAATATAAATTAATATAGGGAGGGGTTGCGATAGAGTTCGCAATAGGTCGATTTGTGTCGGGTTGAATACTTTAAACGGGTTAAATTACTCAACTATAACCCGACCCGTTTATGATCATGTCGAGTTCGTGTTGACCCGTTTATTATTGTGTCGAGTTCGGGTTGACTCGTGTTGACTTGTATACATAATTAAGTCGAATTTCTTAATTCAAATTAAATAATTTTTTGTTATGTTGTCGTGTTATGTTAGTTGAGCGTAAATTAAGTCGAATTATTTAAAATTGAACTTAGTTTAAATTAATTTATGAGAAAATTATTAAATTATGATTATTTTACATATATAATAAATATACAAATCAATATTAATATATTATAATTGGGTTGTTGTGTCGGGTTCGAGTTGAGAGCCTTAACCCTAACCCGACCCGTTTACTATCGTGTCGGGTTCGTGTTGACCCGTATATATAATCTAGTTGAAATCTTTGACCCAAACCCAATTATTTCGTGTTGGATCGTGTCGGGTTGTCGAGTCGAGTCAGTTTTGCTAGCTCTAGGTTGTGATGTGAATAAGAAAAATCAGCACTATACTTATTTTTTAACATGTCTTTTATTATAAATAATGTATATTGTTAATAATAAAGATATATAATGTTTGTTTATAACTATGCGAGTATGTCATGTGTTAAAATTAACTGTTGCATGTGATTGGTGAGACTATATTGTATTGTTAGTTTATGTGGCGTGTTTACATTATATTAATATAAATTATGTATTATTAATAATAATACTGTGGTTGTTTGTTAGTATATTGAGTATTATTCAGTATAATGTTGAATTTTAAAATTCAGCACTTTAGCCGTTGTTTATAATATACTCCCTTCGTCCCTTAACAATCTATCCATTTTTTCATTTTGATCCGTCTCATAACAAAGTATTCGTTTCTTTTTTTAGTAATTCTACTATCTACCTAACATTTAAAATACCCTTCTAATTTACAATATATTACACAAATGTCGTTACCTTTATATCATACAATACTAATAGGGTTAATTTAGTTTTTTTATCTTTATTTCTACTTTATCCCAATATAATACTAATATTCCTAAAATCCCGTGCATAAACGAAATGGATAGATAGATTGGGGACGGATGGAGTATTTCATATGTCACAACTCAAAGTATATATATATATATATATTTATCATTTTTTACTGTCCAACAAAAAATATATATTTTTTATTCTAGAAAAAATAATTATAAATTAATACCAAAATACACTTTAACTTTTATTTAAATTACAAATATATTATTACATATACAATTATTTTATATATAAAATTAAATGGTAAAAATATCAAAATCTCTTACATACTTTCATTAACTAATAAAATATTAATATTATTTATTAATCTATTGCATAACCTCAAAGAGCCATTTCGATTAGGAATAAGGAAATAATATATAGAAAGTATTATTTAATAGCAAATTCAACATTACTCTTTTCTATCATATTTCCATAAGAACAAAAATACCATGAGCAGACCTGTAGGGAATGATCTAATGGTGTTTGAGTGGACTTATAACCATGAGGTTATGATCTCAAACCTTTAACTCGCCTAATGTGACTTGTTTATCAAACCTAGTTTGCAGGGTATGATATGGGGTAAAAAGCTCTATATTTTAAATAAATATATATTTTTAATAACATTAAAAACTAATAAATAATGTATGATAAAATATTTTATGAGAAAAAATAGTATATATTTTTTAAAAAAATATAAAATTCAAATAATAAAGAGTTGAAGGTTGGAACTAAAGAACACAAATGTGGAAAGTAAATCAATCATAAATAATTAGTCCCGAAAATTTAATACCCTATATATGTTTGGAACTATATATGTTGTTTACTTTGTTGTTTGTTTGCTGTTGTATTTAAAATTGGGTAATTATTTACATTAAACATTTAAAAAATATATTACTCCCTGTATAATTATTTCCTTTTTTGAACTATCATAAAATATTATTACAATATTTTTAATAAAAAATATATATTTAAATATTTTTTTAGTATTATAAAAGAAAAATTAAGCAAAAAAGGAAAAAACACACACCTACATTTGAATAACTGAGGTCTGAGGAATTATATGTGATGTGACCATTATTTTTTATATAAAATATGCAATTCAGCAATTATAATTTTTTAAAAAAAAAGTATAGAAAGAAATGTCTGTATTATTATTTTTAATGTAATATATAATTTAAATGTATAAATAATATAAAAATAATAAGTGTGTATAATATATTATTTTTTAAAAAAAATATATATATATATTAAAAAATTTTAAATAAAAGAACAAAATATCTGTTTTTTGTTACCAAATACTAATAATTATAATTATAATAATTTATAGTCAAACCCAAATAATAATAGTATTAATTAATTTATAAGTATTAAAAAGGTTGTTGGGTGTGTAATCAGAATCAGTCAACCTTCCTTCCTATAAAAACTTAGTGGAGGCTTCATTTTCACATACTCTAACAACAACTTCTCAAATGCCTCAACTTGATCGTGAACCTTGCGCAGGAGGAGCAAGTGGCGGTGGCGGCAGCGGCAGCCATATCTCCGTAAAAATTCCAGAAGCGCAATCGGATTTTCCGCCGGAGTCATTCAGGCTGTCGAAGGATGAGGAGTTGGAGTGGTTCAATTACAACGCCCTTCTGGTACGGAAGGAGTCGACGAGAGGCAACTCCTTCGTCTCTACAAATAATCCTAATCCTAATCATGGCTTCAATTCCGCGCGAGTTAGCATCAGATTGAAATCGAAGGCGCACGTCCTCGGATTGCCGAAGACGCGCAAAGCCAGTTGTGTGGATCCGACGCGGAGGAGCTGCAGAGGCGCCAACGCACGCCTTCTCCCTGGAGACTCCATGTCCATGTCTATGTCGAGGTTGCTCGGGAAGCCGGTGGCTATGGCGACGGAACCGACTTCCCCAAAGGTGTCGTGCGTCGGGAAAGTCAGACCGAAGCAATGCAACCGGCGCTCCAATTCGAGGAGAAGCGGAATCTCCTTGGAGAATAATAATAGTACCAATCCAAGCAGAGGCTTCTATTCCAAGCTTCTCACCATATTCCGATCCAAAAAATTAGGTCAGAAGAAGCAAGCTCGCTCGCGGAGCCGGAGATCGGTGGAGGAGGTAGCGACCATTGATGAAACGCCGCCGAACAGCGGGCGGCGCCTCAAATCGCCGGAACTTCAGGAGCCTCCAGGTTTGGGAGCAGTGCAGCGTTTTTCCTCGTGTAGGCGGTCGGAGTCCTTTTATCTTCGATGATATTAGTCAGCCGCTCGCCGGCGACGTAGGAAGCCGGTGAACTGACGGTGCGTCCGTCACTGCCGTTATAACGGAATCCCTTGCTTCCAATTTCCATATCAGGTCCGGTCCGTTAACTTTTTGCCATATGTAAAAAATTTATCTGAAGCACACATTACACATATATATTAATACTAGTGTATTAGTCCTGTAAGGATTTTATAAATTATTAAATTTATATTTTTATAAATAATTTATTATAAAGAAAAATATCAAAAAATACAAATATATTTTGAATAAGTCAATCATTATTACAAAATATTGTTAATATTAGTATTATATTGAGATATAACAAAAATAAAAGTAAAAAGACTAAACCAAGACAAAATTAACCTTATTAGTATTGTATGATAAAAAAGATAATGATGATATTTGTAATATTAAGCAGATAGTACAATTACTAAAAAAACGGATACTTTGTTATGGGACTGACAAAATAGAAAAATAATAAATTATTAAGGGACGGAGGGAGTATATTATATCAATTATAACTATATAATATTAATAGCCGTTGTTAACTATATTAATTAATATAATTTTTTTAAAAAAAATTCAAAAAATTAAGAAACAAAAAGTTGGTCATGTGAGACCTACCGAGTTCAAATATATAATTGTTGGATCCTGCAATTCGGAATTCCAAAAATAGCTCGTCGATTTCGTCGGTGTGGGTTCCGGAAGTACTCCAGAGAGCCAATCCGTCGTCGGGCAATGCAGATTTTTACGCGCTTAACGAACTACACTATGATTAACTACGGAAAGCGAGTAAATAAATTGCAGAAAGCTTCTAAACAGAATTAAATTGCATAAACGAAAATAAAACAGGAAAAAAAAATATGAAAATAGACGAATTGTTCTGTTGTGCGTATGTGTGTTGTGTTTCTTTTTCCTACTTATAATCATAAGTTAGAATAACCACTTCTCCCACTAACAGGGGTGGTTATAATTATTCTCCCACTTCTTTCTACCTCTCTTAACCACCAAATAACCTCCTTCCATCAGTTCCCAGCAGCTTCCATTGCTTCTGGACCGAGTTCCATTTGTCTTAAGCATCTTCCATCGTTCTTGGACCAAGTTCCATTCGCTATGGATTTCTTCCATTGCCTTCAGATCAGACCTGCAGCCTACCCTGATTCGTTTCCATCATACTCCTAGTCGGTCTACGGGGATATTTTCCCGACAGTCTTAAGTTACATGGAACCCTCATTCATCTTCCTTCTATTTTGACCCCTAGAACCTTTCATATCGGACCTGTAGATACCATGGTCTTCCATTAACCTTATGAGGTTGCCAATTCAGGGTTGATGGAGCTTGTCGTCCAAAGGTATATGGAAGTCATATCTTCTTACTCTATAGAAGCTCCACAGCCTGATGGAAGTCACTACCTTCGACATTTAAACTATTTTGGACCGGGGTTCCAACAATTGCCCTTCTCAAAAGAGAGATGAAATGTAAGCTACGTGAAGCTTTGCTCTCTTTTTTGGGACTTTCTTCGTGGGCCTTGGCACGAAATTTATCCTAACTTGATATCTCATGTAAACCCCACTAGCCTTGATGTGACAGCTGCTTCCTTCGATTCCCGCATCGCCTGAGAGAAAAAAAACATTTAAGGGTATTTCTAAGGGTTTATCATCACTTCCCTTTTACATTTCCCTCTCCCCTCGTTTCTTCTCTTGATTTTCCTTCGAAGGCTTCATTCTGTTTGGTGAACGCGAGTATCAAACCGTATGGCCTCTTCAACAGCTCTTCCTACTTGCAGTGTAGGTGAACCGTCGCCGCTAACTGCAGTCCCAAGTCTAATCCGCTACCCGATGCCAGCCGAGGAACTTTTGCTCCTGTCCAATGATGGGAACTCGTGGGTGTTGACGCCGTCGATGGAAACGGATCCCCAAAAGGAAGAACTCCAACGAGTCCTCGCCGGCGACGGTGTATCTCCTTGTTGATCGTGAAACCATTTTATTCGTTGGCTCTTCAACAAGGTAGGGTTCTGACCAGATATCCCGACGGCACAACCTTCAAAGAATGGACGGCGACCCTCGGCGGTTCGGTCGATACGCAGTGGGAAGCTTGGGGGATTGACGACATGATCACCGTCAGTACACAGGTTTCTCATCCCAACCCCGAGTCCTGATGATGAATATGCAGGGGATACACCACCCTTTGCTCCCATGGCCGACACCCCCATGGTTTCCAAAGCTGAACCTCCATTATTGACCGCTGCCGACGTCCAAGCCTCTGTTGCTCACATTGTGAGGGATTTGATGTCAGCCTTAGAAGTGGCAGCAGATCATAGCACCTGTGAATCACCTTCGACTTTAGCAGTTATCGTCTCCGAGTAGGCAGCCTCGGTCCCAGAAGGCTCGGCTTTAGCCGGTGTAGCTTCGAGCTCTGGTGGAGCGGCCTTGTCTTCGGAAGATCTCATTTCTGCAGGTGTGACTCCAATCGTTGATGGAGCGGCCTCGACCCCAAACATTTCAACTCTAGTGGAAACAGCGCCAGTTCCTGATGGAAAGCTCCAGCTATCGAAAATCTGATTCCGCCCCCGATAGATCCAATCCCCGTGGAAGCGGTTCCAGGGCCTGATGGATTGGTTCCAGATCCGGAAAATCTGATTTAGACTCCAACGGATCCAGTCCCTACGGAAGCAGCGCCAGGCCTCAATGGAACGGCTCCGTCTAAGGAAGGTCTAATTCAAACTACAACGGATGCAGTTCCGGTGGAAGCAGCGCCAGGTCCCGATGGAACAACTCTGTCTCTAGCAGACCCGACCCTAGTCCCAGCAGATCCAGCTCCCATGGAAGCAAGACCTGATCCTGGTAACTCTGAGCCCGATGTGAATCTAGCAACAAAGGATACTTCTCCTACCGTGTGTTAACTTTGGGAACCATTCGCCTTTCTTTGATTTTCTCGCCGTTCCGTTTGGATTTTATGATCTGCTACTCATTCGGCCACTTACGATGATTTATTTTCGTTTTGTCTCCATTTGCACATTAGCGGCTTGCTAGCCTGCTTTCATTTTGCATATTAGCGGCTTACTAGCCTGCTTTCATTTTGCATACTAGCTGTTTAATAGCCCGCTTTCGTTTTACACAGTAGCGGCTTAATAGCCTGCTTTCGTTTTGCTTTATATCTAGTGGCCTAAACAGGGCCTGCTTTCATTTTGCATATTACACTTCTTTATCCGAGCTCGAGTGGTGACATGTATCCCTTAAGGTGCTTAGCATTGATAACGTTTCTATGTTCTATTCCATCAATACTCATCAATCTATAAGCACCGTTACGCAACACTTTACTCACTTGGTACGGACCTTCCCACATAGGAGACCACTTCCCGAATGTATTATATTTGAATCCTTCGGGCAACACTGCCTTCCATACCAAATCTCCTTCTTGGAATGTTCGCCGACGTACCTTTTCGTTGTAAGCTCGCGCCATTTTCACTTTATTTGCCCATATATTCTCCAGAGCCATCATCCAATCCTCGTGTACGTCATCCAATCTTTGTAACATCGCTGTATCGTACTACTCGGGACTAAGCAAATTCTGCTTCAACACTCGTAGCGATGGCACCGTGATTTCCAACGGCAATATCGCTTCTTGTCCGTAAACCAGTTGGAATGGGGTGCAACCAGTGGCTTTATTTCGATATTGTCTGCAAGCCCATAAAACCTCCCCTAACACTTCGTGCCATCTTCTCGGGTTATCTTCCACAGCCTTTTTGATTACCCCAATTAAGACTTTGTTGGCTGTTTCGGCCTGCCCATTTGCCTACGCATAATACGGGGACGAATGCAAAAGATCAATCCCGTACTGTGCGGCGAAGGCGGCCACTCTATCGCTGGTAAAAAGAGTGCCTTGATCGGCGGTAATCGTCTGCGGGATTCCATATCAGTGAATGATGTGTTCCTTAACGAACTTGATCAACTCTTGATATGTTACGTTGGCCAACGGTCCAACCTCTATCCACTTTGTGAAAAATCTGTGGCCACCAATATGAACGAGTGACGTCTGGAAGATGGCGGATGGATCTTCCCGATGATATCCATCACCCATCCTCGGAATGGCCACTGCTTCACTACTGTATGCATTTCTTCCGCCGGAATTCGGATCAAAGAACCATGTCGCTTACACGCTTCACATCCTTGAGCGTACTTGATGCAGTCTTCTGTCATTGATGGCTAAAAGTACTCATATCGTCGGATCGTCCATCTCATGACTAGCCCGGATTGGTGTGCTCCACAAATTCCTTCGTGCACTTCACCCATCGTCTTCATGGCTTCTTGAGTATTTACGCATCTCATTAACATTCAATCGGCGGTTCTGCGGAAAATATCTCCGTCGATCAGAGTATACTTCAGAGCCGCCTTCCACAGCTTTTCCGGAGTTTTATCGGTTGGTTGTTCCAAATATTTTCTTAGTTCCATACGCCAATCCTCCGCTTCCACTGGGCACAAACATACTCGCGCTGATTTGAAATTTCCCGCGGCTGATGACTTATACCAAGATGCTTCTTGAGCCAAATCATTAGCTATTCTGTTTTCGGCTCGAGGTATGAATTCCATCACCTCGTCATCGAACATTCGCAACATCCTAACTGCTTCCATTCGAAGATTTCTCATTCTCTCATCTTTGCATTGGAACTCTCCAGCAATCTGCTTCAAAATTAACTGTGAGTCGCCTTGAACTCTGATCGCCTTAGCCCTTTTTTTTTTGTAGAATTCCCAATCTAACTAATAAGGCTTCGTATTTTGCTTGATTGTTAGTAAATCCAGGTGTTAATGACCTAGCAACAGTCCACTTTTGTCCCCAGGGACTCTCAATGAATACCCCCGCTCCAGCGCTAGTCTGTGTGCTGGACCCATCGAACTTCAAGATCCACGGCATTGGGCTAATAACAGCTTCTATACGATCAGCCGCTTGGTCAGCCACCGAGCTCGGATGATCTACTAGGAAATTAGCAACCACTTGTCCCTTAACAGCTTTGATTGATACATATCGTAAATCAAATGCGGCTAGCTTTACAGCCCATTTCGCTTGCCTTCCCCTTAAAGCTGGTCTGCTTAATAGATATCTCAAAATATCGACGTGACACACCACTTCCGTTTCCCTCAGGGCTAAATAATATTCAAGTTTCGTGCAAGCGTAAAATAATGCGAGACATAATTTTTCCATAGGAGTGTACCTTGTCTCTGCATCATTCATTACCTTACTGAGGTAAAAAAATGGCGCGTTCGCTTCTATCGGGAGCCTCCTGCGCCAGTAAGCAACCGACCGTATTCTCAGTGGCTGAAACATAGAAGTGCAGAGGTTTGCCTGCTTGTGGCAGCATCAACACCGGTGGATTGGCCATGGATTCCTTAATAGCTTCTAAAGCCTGCTGGTGTGGTGGCTTCCACACAAACTTCTCTGTTTTCGCAACTTGAGCAGTGTGGAAAAAGCTCTAAGCTTGCCTGCAGCGTTCGAGACAAATCTCCGCAGAAAATTGACCTGCCCAAGGAATCCTTGAAGTTGCTTCAGATTCTCAGGCGGTCGGGCGTTGATGACAGCTTTCGTTTTGTTACTATCCACCTCAATACCCTTATTATGCACCATGAAACCCAGAAAGTTTCCGGAGGCCACTCCGAATGCGCACTTCGCTGGATTCATCCTTAAATTATAGTGCCTCATTCTCCGAAAAGCTTGCTCAAGATCCACCAGATGTTCCGAAAAACTCTTGGATTTCACCACTATGTCGTTGATGTAAACTTCCACGGACTGTCCAATTAAATCGTGGAATATGGTGTTCATCGCTCATTGGTAAGTCGCTCCAGCATTTTTCAACCCAAACGGCATCACCACCCACTCATATACCCCAAGGGTTCCTGGGCATCGAAATGCCGTTTTTGCAACATCCTCTTCAGCTATGAAAATCTGGTTATAGCTGGAATACCCATCCATAAACGACAGACTCCCGTTCATGGCGGTTGCATCTACTAACATGTCGGCAATAGGCATGACGTACTCGTCCTTGGGTGTTGCCAAATTCAGATTGCGATAATCGACGCATACCCGTAATTTACCATTTTTCTTGAGTACGGGGACGACATTGGCCACCCATTCCGGGTATCGACAAGTCCGAATGAATCCTGCTCCTAACAGCCGTTGGATTTCTTCCTTGATCTTCGGGTACACATCTGGATTAAACCTTTGCGGCGGCTGCTTGTGGGGTTTGTATCCGGCTTTTATGGGTAGCCGATGTTCCACAAGTTCTCGAGCCAAACCTGGCTTTTTGTCGTAATCCCAAGCGAAACAATCCCGGTATTCCTTTATAAGTGTCACCAAGACAGGTTGATCTTTTGATGTTAACAGCACACTAACTTTGGTGATTCGCGGGACTTCATCAACACTGAGGTCAACATTTTCCAGTGGATCTTGGGCCTGGAACGCTGGATAGGTTTTATGCACGGGCGACGGTAACTCTACTTCACCGGCAATTTCCTTGTATGGTTCCCCGTCGCCGCTGAACTTTCCTTTAAGCTGCTCCTTTCTTCCACGGATTCTGCTATGGCCGGCTCTGGATGTTGCGTAACAAAGCTTGTTTCAGGCGGTCCAGGGTTTTCCAAGGGGCCAGCTCTAGACGGCTCTGAACTCGCCACAAAACCTATTTCGAACCGTTCACCACCTTCTGTGGAACTTGCTTGGAACGGCCCTGTATTCGTAACAGAGTCTGCTCTATGTGGCTCAAATTGAATTTCGACGTATTCGAAATTCATCATAGTCTTCTTCATTCGTAGGCCGTGGATCGGCCTTCGCTTGAATTCTGAATTGATTATCACTAAACACACATTCATAATTTCCCTCGTTAGGCATGGAGGCGATTACTTTGGAAAACAGGATCATCTTCGAATAGTAGAAAGTTGCATCCACAGCTGTGACTTCCGCTGCGATGGGTCTTTCTCCGCCTCCACTTCTTGAACCTCATCACCATCCCAGAACAGCAACTTCTTGTGCAAAGTTGACGGTACACACTTGCAAGCGTGAATCCAGTCTCGCCCCAATAATGCTGCATACGAAGGACGACTGTCTATTATTACGAACGCTGAGGGGAACTTCTTGGTGCCTACTTGTACCTCAATGGTAGCGATACATGCCGGTTTATACGAATTTCCCATAAAATCTGTAGCTCGCACCGAAGTTGGTATTAAATCATCCCTTGTTTTTCCTAACTTTCTGAACGTTCGAAACGGCATTACGTTGGAGAATGCGCCACCGTCTATCAGTACTCTGCCCACTGGTCGTCATTCCATTAAAGCTCGAACGTACAGGGGCTTTACGTGTTTATTCTGCCCGGATCCAATCCGATCAAACGTGACTGTTGTCACTACATCGTTCCATTCTGCCACTGGCTCTTCATCTACGGTCACTCCCTCATAATTCTTCTCCCCTTCTGGGGCTTTGAACTCAAACGGAAATACCCCCACAACCGATAGTTGACCAACTTCAGCATTACACTCCTTCGATTGTGTAGTTTTCGGCACCCATCGGCGTTGCCAGTTTGGAGTGGGTCCGGTGTTAGGAGTAGAGAAAATTAGGCGAGGTTGCAACTCTTGATTTTTCTGAGGTCTCTCCTTCTGCTCACGGGTTTTTGAGGCTTTTTCATACCGACTTGCTGCTTGCTAAATTTCCGATTCAATTTTCTTGCCTTTAGCCCCTACACTTTTCTGGTTTGGCTGAACACCTTGAGTTTCCAACTTAGCCTGTAGTCGTTTCCTTTGTGCCCTTCTTTTTCGGGAACGTGTGAGGTCACCCATTGCCCTCCTGGTATTTGCCTCCGGCACATGATTGTCCATTTCTCCGAATCTACGGCTGATGGAAGTTTCCGTGTTGTTCTTGGAGTAATGGTGATCTGATCAGTAGACGTAATGGTCCAGACACGTTTCCCACTAGCCACTTTCACTTCAGCCACCATGGCATCCGGCTTAATAGTTGAGCCTGGAGCTGTGGCTTTAGTTGTCCTATTATGACATTCCCGAACTTCTCGGGCATTTGGGATCGTCACTTTCAGATTAGGGCTCTTCACTACAACCCTAGGTTCCTTACTTCCAACGTTTCCATTAGGCATCTTTCCCACAGACAGCCTATCGAAAACTGAACCCCGTTGTGGTATCCTAGGCCCGAGTCGCTCATGAACTGGCTGCCGAACTGGTTGTTTCCCTTTAGTTCTGTCTCTTAAGACTTCTTGTGGACATGGTATTAATGGATGGTGCAGGACACAGATTTGCATCCACCTGCATACTTTTTTCTGCTAGCTTCAGTCTACTCTTGTCTAAAGCCTTCTGAATCGTGTTTCGTAGGTACGTACAATTGGCGGTAGCATGTGTATAACTCCCATGCCACTTGCAGTACACTTTTCCTTTCAATTCCTCTGGTGACGGCACTTGCTGCTTGTCTTGGAGTTTGATTTGTTTGTCCTTCAGCAGATGATAAAAAATCTGTTCTACTTTAGACTCATCGAAGGTATACTGCACGCCTCCGATCTCCTTACCCCTTAATGCTGAACAGGAGTAAGTTTTTCCTTTCAACAATTGAGCCGCTAACACATCTTGTTCCTCGCCAAAATCTTCGTCGGCTGAACTTTCATCATCCGCACAGCAAGTTATCCCTGCTTTTCCATCCTTCTTCCACTTACTTACAGCAGCATCCCGTCTCTCTCGGATGAAATTTTTTGCTCTCATTGCGAGTGCACTTAAATGCGAAAAATACTGGAAATCCTGAACTCCCAGCCGATCTCGAAGATCTGATCGCATGTTATCCACTGCCATCGCAGTTGCTTGTTGTTCGGGGATCTGCACTGTGCACCGTGTCTTAGCTTGTCGAAACCTCTCCAAAAGTTGTGCCACTCGCTCATCATATCCCAGTTTTACTGCTACCAGGTGGGATATTGTAGTCTCCACTGATGGCGTATAAAAACGGTCGTGAAAAAGCCTCTCCAAATCCGACCAAGACTGCATAGTACCTGGAGCCAACGATGTATACCACGAAAACACAGTACCTTTCAGAGATAAAGAAAACAATTGTAAACGATACTAATCATTTCCTCCCTAATCTCCGCACTGAGCTGTAAATTTCCCGATATGCTCTATCGTTGATCTCTTATCTTCGCCTAAGAACAGTGTAAAATCCGGCGCTTTATTTCGAACAGGCAACGGCATCATCTCACTTACCCAAGCTGGGTAGGGTTTTTGATACACCGGTCGCTCTTCAAATTTCATTCATGGGAAAGCTCTTCGGATACTTTCCACTAGACTATCCGTATCTATTAATGGTCGGGCCTCATGCTGATTAGGAATCAGCGGCTGCCCTCTTGGTCCCCAAGCTTGACCAGCCATTCCTCCCTGAAGGACAAGCATATGGAGCTTGCTGAGCCCACAGCGCTGGAGGTGCGTTCCAATTAGGCTGCCCTGTGACCTGCCCTGGCGGCGCTGTCCCTGGATGGGCTCCGTAAACACCGCTTCCTGCGACATCTTGTCCTCCTACCATTTGCAGGTCATAGCCTCCGCTGGGTTGCCCTCCTTGTGGGCGTTGGAGAATCGTCACAGTACCGAATTGCAATCCTGCTCCACTCTTCGGTCCCCTAGGCGATCCAGTGTTTCCCCGAACCAAGTTGGAACCGATGTTTCCTATGAGGGATGGAGTCCCTCTAGCAGATGGAGTTATTCCTTTCGGACCTCCATATGTATTTCCTGGAATTCCAGAATTCTGGATTCCACTGGCCGCTGCTCGACGTTCCTCTTCGCGAATCTGAAACGCTTCATTCCTCACAGTTGGCCGGATCACATCAGCCAATTGCCTAGAAATTTCGTACGCGATATCCCCAATTCCGGCATGAATACACCGATTCACTTCCCTACGTACCTTGGTCACCATCGTTTCGGTCGATGATGATTCCTCTTCTCTCATCAGCCCTAGAGTGCGGCTTCCACTGGGATGAACCGGCACTCCAGTTCCAGGAAATCCTGCACCGATACTAAGGCCTGAGCCCTGATTCTAATTGTCCATGGCGATCACTTTACCACTACGAAGTTGCATACACGAACACAAACCCGACTTGGTCCCACTGGGCGTGCCAATTGTTGGATCCTGCAATTCGGAATTCCAAAAATAGCTCGTCAATTTCGTCAGAGTGGGCTCCGGAAGTACTCCAGAGAGCCATTCCGTTGTCGGGCAATACAGATTTTTACGCGCTTAACGAACTACACTATGATTAACTACGGATAGCGAGTAAATAACTTGCAGAAAACATCTAAACGGAATTAAATTGCATAAACGAAAATAAAACATGAAAGAAAAATATGAAAATAGACGAATTATTCTGTTGTGCATGTGTGTGATGTGTTTCTTTTTCCTACTTGTAATCCTAAACTAAAATAACCACTTCTCCCACTAACAATGGTGGTTACAATTATTCTCCCATTTCTTTCTACCTCTACCACCAAATAACCTCTTTCCATCAGTTCCTAGCGGCTTCCATTGCTTCTGGACCGAGTTCCATTCGTCTTAAGCATCTTCCATTGTTCTTGGACCAAGTTCCATTCGTCTTAAGCATCTTCCATTGTTCTTGGACCAAGTTCCATTCGCTCTGGATTTCTTCCATTGCCTTCAGATCAGATCTGCAGCCTACCCTGATTCGTTTCCATCATACTCTAGCCGGTCTACGGGGATATGTTCCCGACAGCCTTGAGTTATATGGAACCCTCGTTCATCTTCCTTCCATTTTGACCCCTAGAACCTTTCATATCGGACCTATAGGTACCATGGTCTTCCATTAACCTTATGAGGTTGTCAATTCAGGATTGATGGAGCTTGTCGTCCAAAGGTATATGGAAGTCATATATTCTTACTCTATGAAAGCTCCGCAGCCTGGTGGAAGTCACTACCTTCGACATTTAAACCATTTTGGACCTGGGGTCCAACAATAATATATCAATATAGATTACATAATAAATACATTAAATTATCTAAATTATATAAATAATAATTATAATAATAATAATAATAATAAATTTGAATATTAATAAATATATTTATTAGCTATAATTTCATTAATTATATAAATAATACTTATATATATTAATGAAAATTTATTAATTATATCAATAATACCTATTTTAAGAAAATTTTTTTGATTGTACGAGACCCATATCGACCTCAAATATATAGTAAATAGATAATCAAACCACCCTATTTAGTCCACCCTTCATTTTACTGCAATTGAATTGAAGCCCCAAATTTGTTGCTGTAAAAGTAAAATGATACTACAAAATCAAAATTAAAAGATAGAAATCCACACTAGGATGAAAGAGTGTAAGTGGCTCTTAGGTAGTCGACAATATCAGCGCTCTCAAACATTTGAATTCCTGTGTTTGGATCTTCTAAGTAAGGAACCTGTTTGATGACACAATACAATACAATACAATTAATTGTCAATTGAATGTAGAGCTAAATCAAAGCCAAAGCCTACCTGGAAATGGCCAACTCTCTCATACAGCGCTTGCCTTTTCGGGCTCCCTCGTGCGCAGCTGCACGCCGCAAATATTTCCAAAGTAGAATAATTGAAACGGTAATAAATAAATAAATAAATAAATGTTAGAAGACGGAGTGAAGAGACCTGTGATGTATGTGAGGTAGCTCTAACTCCACCAGCACTTCGCGCACAACTTTGCAAAACGGTGAAGCCTGAAGAGGGGGAAGCGGATGATCCAACGTCAGAAGTTACTCAGCTCGCTAGTTGTATTTGCGAAGACCTGATCGAACAAAATCTAATAATATATTCTATCTATTGTATTCTAACCTCGTACGCCCAAATCTCAAGCGGCTTTGGAGGGAGCTTTGATGGAGTGTAGGAAGAACCCTGCATAAGCATAATGATCAACGACATGATGATGATGAGCACATTTTAAGACCATCGAATTACACATATTTTGTGTGGAAACTATCTATCTATATACCTTCCCCATTCGACCCATCATGGCAAATCCTTCTGTCAAGGTCTACAACACAAAAACCAGCAGAGGGGGAGGGAGAATGATCAATCAATAAAGTCTTTCTACAATACGATTATTGATTTAAATCTGGAATTAATATATTTCTTACAGTTAACAAACCGAGTGACAGAAGAAACGGGACATTTCCATTGCCTGAAGTAGGAAAAAACACTTAATAAGAGTTAATGAAATATCAAAGGCCTTCCAATTCTATCATCCGGTTGCCTTATATAAATAATTCTATCATTCTCTCTCTTGGATTCAAACGGCCAAGGATGTAATTGATTGATACAAAACAACAACATACCGTATTTCCCGACCAAATACTTAATTATGTCATCTGATTCGTACATAGAAACGCCCGTGTTTGGATCCACCTAAGCAAGAACAGAGCAAGAAGATTTAGCACGCCTGTAGACAAGTTATGATTTTTATAGCAGGCATCATATATGAAGACATTATATTCCATGGCTAACCATGTAGGGGAACTGCTGCTTCCCACCCATTTGAGAAACTTTGGGACGGAAATTTGGGCCATTTCTAGGACATGGATAGAACAAGACATCAAGATCCAATATTGACACAATTTCCCGAACCTGCAAGCGACGTGAAAAGTTGTATGATATCAATTCAGCACTGCATTGCAGATCATATACAACGGTAGGAAGAAAATTGGTCAATATACCTTGCGACAGAATGGGCAGCTGGAGGAATCCAGCGTGCGTTATGGAAGGAATCAGGCAAAAGGAGATCAGATCAGATCAGAGGAACTATGCATTCAGTCTTCATAATGTTCAAGCAATAGTTTGTCAGTTCCGGAAATTTGATTTTCACAATTACCTCTCAAACTCGTAGATTTCGATTGGTTGCTCCGGGCGAGGGCCTAACTTTGAAGTTTCTTTCACCTTGAAACCTGAAAAGGTGTTTCGTTTCAGGAATTGCTCATACGCGCGTAATCGGACTGTTAATTGCTTACCGGCAAGTTTTAGAGCGTACTGATCGGATGGAATCTCGTTTTCAGGCACCAGGGTTATAGAGTACCTGCAATTAATGGAGGCGAAGCTTTTGATGTAGATACTGAAGAAAGAAGGCTGTGACCCTAATTCTGGTATACGGAGCTCGACAATGGCGGAAAATTGGGGAAAGATGAAGGAAGGAATCACATTAACTACCCTGATGCAAGGGCGCTGGTGCCCAGGCGGAAGATTAAGGCGAGCGAAGCTCCAAGGATGTCGAAAATCCTGTCCGGTCTGATGGAAAATGGCTTCGGCTGCGGGGGCGTGAAATTAGGCGGCGCCGATATCGAAGCGGAAGGGTTTTCCGAAGCCTTTGCCGATGCCTTTACGGATAAGGCTCTGTTGGCATTCGCCGACTTGCGAGCTGCAACCGATCGGAAAATAGGAGTCGGATTGAAGCTCAGCACTGCGGCCATGGCGGAATTGGTGAAGCTGGAAGGGCGTTGGGGCGGTGCGCCGATGACGACAAGAAATTATGCCATCAAACAGTTGGTGGATGGAAATAAGACAGGTATTACAGTCTATATCCAGATTTTTTCACTTTGAATTATTCATTCAAGCATTTAATTATCCAAAAATTTTCTAGAACTTGAAAACCTAGGATTGAGAATAGGTGAGCAGTGGAATCATCAATGTGTTAATTATGAAGGGTAAAAGTAAAATCATGAATGGCCCCGGCCCCCAAACTAGTTTTCAGATGAATCAATTTCCCAGAGATGCTCAAATTCTTGGGTTCTTCCCTTTTCCATTACTTTCTGAAAACAGATTGAATAAGTTCCATATATTTTTTCTGATTCCCTGTTTGCCATTTTCTTGATGAAGACAATATGCCTTGCATTGACAGCACTAATTGCAGGAACTTGATTGCCATAGATTATACCACAATGGCAAAAATGGTATATATGCTCTTGTTACTTAGTTATATACACATATCTATATTCATAAACATCAAATCCACCCCTTTATTGTAGCTTCAACATAGCTGTCATGTTACTTAGTTACATGCAATTTGACTGACCAGAAAGTTTAAAAACATGAAAACAAATAGATATAACACAAGTAGTTAAAAGAGTAAGGAGGGAACAAGGAACAGGGAGATATTTGGGCAAAAAGGACAGTACTTAGGAGAACAAAATCAATTGATTATGCCTGATTGTGGAGGCATCTGAAACTCATATCTCTGTTAAGCCATGAATGAGGATATAGGCATAAAGAATGGAAGAGGAAAGTTTGGAACCCATTTTTTGTGGCCTTGAGTAGGAAAGAATAAACTCAAATTCTTGGCATTTGAGTATACGGCTCGTCGCCTTTAGTTTGAGTTAAGATTCTCAGATTCCATTCCTCAGAATCTGATGAATTTCTTCTCATGGCCCCTCTTCATTGATTTTTTTTCTGCATCGAATTGTATTCTGTGGCCATTTATATCGTTTCTTGTCTTACGCCTGCCAATCATATGATTGCATGTGTTTGGGTCTGGATCGTGCTAGCCAGTCTAAAACCTACATTAGTTATGTTTATAATGATTGAAATGCTCAAACACACAAACATTACTGATTCTGTGCTGTGAATAGAAGGTTCTCTTTTCTTTTGGGTGAAATTATGCAGTCAAATGTGAAATTAATTTGAAGCTTCTGATCATATTGTGTAGCAGTCTGACAATATCTGCTATTTATATCCAGTGAAAGTTTTGATAAAAATAGATATGGAAACTATTTGTTTGGGTAGAAGGAAACAATGCATTCATTTAACTAAGCTGGAGAAGATGAAGATACCTGAGATAGACAAACATTTCCCCCGAAGATAAACCAGAAGGACAATATTTAGTATTATCTATTGGGAAGACGATCTGTTTTCTAATTTTAGATTCGCGATAGAACTCAGATATAGTTAAATAACTTCATATTTGTTAAGTTTTGGAATATGTTAGCAGTCACTTAGTACCAATGGAGACTATAAAATACCGTACGCGATGCCATGCTGATAGGCTAGAAGTAATTTAGGTAGCACGAGAAGGGATGAATTCATTCCTATCCACATGCCAGCAAAAAACCTATCAAGGAATTTTTGCTTTTAAAAACCTTTATGTAAAGGTCTCTGTAGATTCCTGCAAACTGCATAAAAAAACATCCCCACATATCAGAATCAAATGATCTTTCCTGAAAAGCCTAACTCGAACTAATGCTCGAACATCTTCAGGGTGGGACAAAGATGCATTACTCTGCATCATCCTTTAGATTAATAATATAGTATAGTATAGTCTTGTTAAACTTGGCTAGTTAGACTCAACAACAAATTTGCTTGTGTTGTGCGACTGTGCAAATTGTTTAGCAGTGCTTACCTTGTGTCGCGTATGGTTTAGTCAACAGAATCTTCCCAGAGAAGAAAATGATGACTACTTTGGGAGCATCATGGATAGTGGATTCCTCCAGTCCACCAGGAATAAGGTTCCGAATGACTTTGGGGATGACAAATACGAGTGCACTGAAAAGACTGGGACTGAGGCTGTGAATCTAGCTTTGTAGTTTTTACATGTTGTAAAAGTTTTGAATATTTAACAAATTTGTAGTGAAGAGAAAATGGAAGAACAATAACCTTTTCTTTTCTCATGTTTCGACAGATGGGATTGGATCTGATGTTCTTCTGGCCATGTATAAGATTCCACACCTACTCTCTGATGGACTCCGGCCTTTTTGTGCCTATAAAAGCTCTCGGGCATGAGCTTCACACTTAAAAAATTGTCGAAAGAAACTAGCCAACAGAGGAAAAGGTATTCTGGTTCACGAAGCATCTGCTCCAAGTATTTAGCTAAGCAGAAAACAGAAGAACCATAAGTTGAATTCTGAGGCGAAATCGAGGTAGAGTTATTTCTTCATATCAACCAATTCTTTCTTACTTAGATGTGCGCCAGCTGAACCGTTGCACGTTATGGTATTGAAGGCAACTGGAATGTATCATCACCACCAACACGGGAAGGACATTCAGCAGCAACCTTCGTCTGTAAGAATTCCTATCCCACCCGAAAGGCACTTGTACCTTCAAGGTGTGAACAATACTGGAGATTCAGGACTTGTTCTTTCCACGGATGCTAAGCCGAGGCTAAAATGGACTCCAGATCTCCACGAACGGTTCATAGAAGCTGTGAATCAACTCGGTGGAGCAGAGAGTAAGCATACGCCGGATTTCTAACTCACAAGAAGACTAATATTGAGATTCTGCATTGGATTAATCTCTCAACTATTCCTTCTGTTGCAGAGGCTACTCCGAAATCAGTCATGAAGCTTATGGGAATTCAGGGACTGACTTTATACCACTTAAAGAGTCACCTTCAGGTAAAACTATTTGATCAACAGAAAATGGGGCTTCCGAATTTTTCATGTATCTAATTTTCTTGTCTTCGGCTTCCAGAAATACCGGCTCAGCAAGAACCTCCACAGTCAGACGAGCAGCGGGAGCAACAAAACTGGTAAGAAAGCCGCAGCAACTTTGCAGGAAAAACAATGGTTGCATTTTTATAGTACTTAACAGATTGGAACTTGTTGCAGCCACTGGAGACAGAATTCATGGGGTAACTGGTACCGGAATTAGCAATCAAAACAGGTCGAGCCAAACAAACAAGTAAGATTATTTAACAATCTTCCGAAGATGTTATTCATCTAATTTTTCGAAACTGATCATGACGTAACTATGGTGCCTTAAATCAGGAATATGCACTTAGGCGAAGCTATACAAATGCAGATTGAAGTACAACAGAGGCTACATGAACAGCTTGAGGTAAAAAAAAGTTAAATACCGATGCTCCTAGAAAACAAAGAGCCCTAAATTCGATTTTCTAATTGCCATGCTCGTTGCATAGGTACAACGGCACTTGCAGCTGCGGTTAGAGGCGCAAGGGAAATACCTACAGTCTGTACTGGAGAAAGCGCAGGAAACGCTCGGTGGACACAGCTCAGAAACGATCAACCTAGAGGCTGCCAAACTTCAGTTATCCGATCTGGTGTCCAAAGTATCGAGTCAATGCCTCAACTCTGCATTTCCAGGAATGAATAAACAACTCTCAGATTTGCAGCGTACGTCTCAGCCCACAGATTGTTCCATAGACAGCTGCTTGACGTCATCCGAAGGCCCTCTAAGGGATCAGGAGCTGTACCATAATCTGATGGCCATGAGGCCCTTCAATCTACGGAGCAATGGAAATTCAGAAAAGGCATTTGGGATGGAGACTGATTCCAGCAATTTAACAATGAGTATTGGGCATCAGGGATGGACTGGCGGCGCCAACTGCTCCGAAAATGGCGGGCTATTCAACCACAGCAGCAGCGACGATGGAATTCATTTGATGGTGAATTCAGAGAAGCCGAAGCGATCGCTGCCATTGTTTTCAGGGAAACTCGACCTCAACACAGACTACAAGAACGACTCGAATTCCAATTCCAGCTGCTGCAACCAGTTGGATTTGAATCGGTTTAGCTGTAGCTGAGATGATTAAACATATTATTGATTCAGATATATCGACTATTCTTTGAGAGATAGAGAGAGTGAGAATGTAAACTAGACATTTATGTAGAAGCTCCTATAATGTTACTGCAGCTTGGACAGTCGATTTTCCGTAGAACTAATCTTATTCCTCTCCAAACAAAAACATAAATAGCGAATTCGATTCAAACGAAACCCCGAAAAAACAAACACTTGTAGCACTCTTCATACTCATCCATCTCATTCCCATTCTTATCACCAACACCATTGTCGATCTCCATGTCCAGAGACCTAAGCTTCCATTTCCGAGAAAGCTGATTAGCAATTCTTAATCAAAATATGCCCCAAGTGTGTACTCACACTAAAAGCGATCCAATTCTTTCCAAAATCCAAAAATTGTGCATCTGCTAAAGCATGCTTCAAGTCGATCCAACCAACACAACATATTTGACAAGGTCCCCACTCCATAGCAGAGGCCTAACTAAACGGCAACCTCCAATACTGCTTGGCGTCGCTTATGGTGGCTTATTTTGTTGCATATATATATAACAATAGGACCTAGCCATTAATTCAAAATAAAAGCAATTTCAGATGGAAGACAAACCAAATCCCCGCGACAAACTGATTTCAACGTGGAATGTGTACCTGCAGTCAGCTCTTAGAATCATATTGTTAGTTGGTACTCCCACATATTTTGAGAAGTGATTGGCAGTCCAATCCGAAAGAGTACATGAGTCGGCCCAAGCAACCCCAATCCATGTACCAAAAAAAAAAATTTAATCCGATCAAAAAAAGAGAACAAAATTTTTAATATATAGATCAGGGAGAGTGATCAGAGAATTTTTCTAAACAAAAAAAACAAAAAAAAGGAAATCGGAGAAAAAGGATGGAATAAAAATGGGAAAGCTAGGATATTACGGATAAGGATCATCAAATGTTATTTAAAGGGGAGCCAACATATGAGATCGATCCAAATAATAATACACACTGTCCAACTTTTATTTATTTTGCTTTCTTGTTTGTTTTTCTTATTTTTGTTTCTAAATTCATGTTATTTTTTCAATTATTCGTTTCATAATTTGATCCTTTTCTTTTCTACTATTTTTTTCTGATTCTTTCAATTTTGTAGTTTAATCTCCCGTACAATTACAATTGTTAACTTTCATTGCGAGACCAAGCCCGGATATTTTCTTGAGTAGGATGGAGAACCCAATTTTCATTGATTTCGTCTCCACAGGGATTGTGTGTAACACTCTTTCGTGTTCTAATGCAGAAAATAATTGGAAAGAATTTTATTTTATTATTTAATAAAAATAATATAACAAAGCAAATAAATTAAGGGAGAACTGGCTATTAAGGGGATGTTTGGGCTCAAGGGATGATGCACTTATAACACTTGTGTTTTATCATTAACTCAATAAAGTTAGTTCTTATTAAAGTATCAATAAATTGATTATAGTTATCAATACGTTCTGACAACCAATTTTTCCTTACAGTGTAGGTAATTAAGGTACGACCGTTAACTACCTCTAATTAAGCTAATAAACCTAAGTGCACCCATAAGAAATATTGTTTAATCACGTTATAATATAGAAAAATCCAATTCAAAACAATTATTACCTAAGAGGAGAAATTAGATTCAATTGTTTAACCTTCGGGAAGGAACTATTCAACCTGGTTGTCACCTATTCAAGTGCGAATACAATTACGGATATCCTACCTGAATTGACTTTAGATTATCATACTAACTTAAATATTAGTACCAAAATATCCAATCAATCTAACAATCACAAACGTTATTTTCAGAATTAGACAAATATTGATAATTAAAAAGAACTTTTATAAAGAAAATCAAGAATCTTCAAAACATAAGAACCAAAACATTATCATCCCTCAAATTAGAAAAATATCTACTCCACAATCAAATAACAAAGAGCAATAGAGAAAAATAAAGTCATAGTGGGAGGGAAAATCTTCTCTGTCGATTTGCTCTTGTGTGATCTATGAGTCTGTCAGTCTCCTACTCTTGTGTGTATCTCTCTGGCCGTCCTCTCTTTTCTTTCTGTGTGTGATCCTCTCTTTTTATTTAATTTTTGCTCTAATTATTTTGTAGCTGGGCTTTTGGGCCTTTAACTAAATTCCCATGTCAAGAGGGTATAGTTAGTCATGGCCATGACCTGAATTTTTCTTTTACTTTTTCTGCCAATTACACCAAATTTGATATTTGCCCTCTGCACACAACAAATAAACAATACGCATATAAATTAGGTAGAATCCAATAAAAATCAATCAAATATCGCATATAATATGAACATTTAATGCATACGATTTCTAACTATTAAACCTCCCAACACCTAGATCATGCTTGCCCTCAAGCATAGATTCGAAATAAGCAAAAGAAATCGCAAGCGACTCAATATGACAAGAGAATCAATCCAACACAACCAATTCAATCCGAAATTCAACACATCAAGCCAAGTCAACCTCATAAGATAAAGTGTATTCGCATATGCTCTATGAAGGAATTAAGTGTATAATTGGCTCAACACTCAGGTAGTGCAACAAAAGATTATCCTATAGGCTTGAGTAAAAATCAAATCTCCCTTACTTAAATATTCGAATCTAATATAAAGAATCAAAGAGACTTTCAATAAGGGTTGTAACAGAGCTTATGGTCAGTGGTAGGAAAACAAGGATAAACGACGGCTAAGAATGTCAGAAAAGAATACAATAAGAACACGATGCTAGCATATGAAAAATAAATCGGCATAAACAATGAAATCCTTACTCTATTCACTACCCAAACTTCAATAACGAAATTAAATAAAAATAATTCATTAAGATGATTATTTTTTTTCTTTTTTTCTTTTTGTTTTATTTATTTATTTATTTTTTATATTTTCTTCTTTTTTTTTTAATTTTTTTTGGCTTTTACCTTTATATATATATATACATTCACTACCTATAATCATTCCTGCATACTACGACTTATTCGTACTCAAATTTCATCTCTAACAAGTGCCGAAGAAATAAAGTGCATCACAAAATTGACTTAAAGTAATTCTTTCTAACATAGGGTTCAAATTGGAGAAGGCTTAATTAAAAGAAGGGTACGAGGCTAAAAGACAATTTATTATAAAAGAAAAAATAGGCTAAGAAGGCTCAAATGGGCTAACTAGGGGGAATATATTGTGCTGGGTAATAAAGAAAGACTTAATGGGGTTACCTAATGCCCTTTTCATTTTCAAAATACAAGACTCGATAGTTGCAAGTTCAACATGCATAATCACTCAAGTTCTAGGTCATCTAATTGAGCACTACACATCGCACATAAAAGAAATTTCCAAAAGCTTGAATATATACAATTTATCTTCTAATGCAACTTTTGGAACATAGGCTCAAATCTCACAGGGTTCAAACGTCGACTTGACTCAACATATCACCAATCAAATGTCATTAGTCATGCCAAACTAACCTATCACACAAATCACCTTTGACTCACTTTAGACTAATATCAAAAGCATGCGAAAGAATAGCAAATCAGGCATAAAAGTAGCACAGAATGAAAATTTTTGCCCAAAAATTTGCATAACTCTCCCTACACCTAAAGTATACATTTTCCTCGATGTAAAGAAAACAATAGAAAAAAAAATGAACTTCCCTGGAGTCTGTAGGGGGTGGAGCAATTGCGAGCTTTTGCTTTGCTTGCCAATGCCTTTAGAGTTGCGCATACGCCATTTTTAGGGAGGCTTGAAGTGTCTCATGAGTTCTCTGCAAAAGTAAAGTAGCCAAGCGCAAAGTATCCTAGAAAAAAGTGCTATCTGATATAGCTCATCATATTTCTTTCAATGCGCAATCAATTAATCAAAGTGTATCATCGTACCTATTGACTTCACCCCACAATAGGCAAATATTTCACCTATTTCGTGATCACAATTTAATGTAATACAGGGGAAGGGATCATCTCCACAGGGATTGTGTGATTCACTTTTTTGTGTTCTAATGCAGTAAATAATTGGGGGGAATTTTATTTTATTATCTAATAAAATTAAAATAACAAAATAATTAAATTAAGGGAGAACTAGCTATTAAGGGGATGTCTGACTCAAGGGATCATGCAGTTATGACACTTGTGTTTTATTATTAACTCAATAAAGTTAGTTCTTATTAAAGTATCAATATATTGGTTATAGTTATCAACAAGCTCTGACAACTAATTTTTACTTACAGTGTAGGTAATTAAGGTACGACCGTTAACTACCTCTAATTAAGCTAATAAACCTAGGTGCACCCATAAGAAATATTGCCTAATCGCGTTCTAATCTAGAAAAACCCAATTCAAAACAATTACTACCTAAGAGGAGCAATTAGATTCAATTGTCTAACCCTCGGGATTGAACTATTCAACGAGGTTGTCACCTATTCAAGTGCGAATACAATTACGGATATCCTAGTTGAATTGACTTTAGATTATCAGACTAATTTAAGTATCAGTACCAAAATATCCAATCAATCTAACAATCACAAACGTTATTTTCAGAATTAGATAAATATTGCTAATTAGAAAGAACTTTTATAAAGAAAATCAAGAATCTCCAAAACACAAGAACCAAAACATCATTATCCCTCAAACCAGAAAAATATCTACTCTGTAATCAAATAACAAAGAACAATAGAGAAAAATAAAGTCATAGTGGGAGGGGAAATCTTCTCTGTCGATTTGCTCCTGCGCGATCTATGAATCTGTCAGTCTTATGCTCTTGCGCGTATCTCTCTGGCCGTCCTCTCTTTTCTTTCTGCGTGTGATCCTCTCCTTTTATTTAATTTTTGCCCTAATTATTTTGTAGCTCGGCTTTTGGGTCTTTAATTAAATTTCCATGTCAGGAGGTTATAGTTAGTCATGGCCATGACTAACTAGGTGGTGCAAATTTGAATTTTTCTTTTACTTTTTCTGCCAATTACGTCAAATTTGATATTTGCCCTCTGCACATCGCAAATAAACAATACGCATATAAATTAGGTATAATCCAATCAAAATAATCAAATATCGCATATAATATGAACATTTAATGCATGCAATTTCTAACTATCACGGCCCAACCAAAAAA